GAATAATTTAAAAGTTAATATATGGTTGTCTTCAAACGATGTAAATACATTATGGCATTACTGGCTTTATATATATACATTTTTCTTATTAATATTTTAAAAATATTTATTAAGTTAATTTATAAGTAAATATTGTAGAATAGGTTTTTCTAATTCTAATGGTGGTAAAATTATTCAAATCGATTAAATATTTAACGAGAAATACACATTTAAAGATTTTTGACATGTTTCTAATCACACATCAAAACCTAACCTTAGATAGAAATTGAGCACTACAGTGTTCCAAAACTGGTTAATAAACTCATGATACGTATATGCGGATTTGAATATAATATACAATAGCGGCATGCCCAATTTTTTACCCGTACTCTGAACCCTACTGTCGATATTTTAAATAAACCCTAATAAATAAATAATAACTTTTGGGCATTAATAAATGATCATACATAATAAAATGTGCAAAAGTAAATACTACCCAAAACTTCAAATAACTTATGAAATATGGGTCCTGTAACTTTTGCTTACAACAGATATCAAATTTTCATATCTTGTTTAATCTTGCAACCATTTGAAGACAAAAAAATAACAAATATATTTTCTGTTCTGTTCACTAATGGTGCAATTTCTATTCAAATCATTACAAAAAAGTATCAAAACATACCTCTTGATATATAAAATTTTTAAAACCCTGCCACGAATATATATCTATCCAATTTATAAAATTTGAAAGATTCACCCCATTGTATAATACACGTGTAAACAATGTTGATACTAAGCTCCTTCTTAATTGGCAAACCTAAAAATGATCAAGTTCATTTATGGGCAAGCACCATCACATTAACTAAAAAAAGATACTATATATTTGTTTACCTGTCCTGTTCAAATACATGCTAAAGGAAATCCAAACTTGTATAATTTTTCTTCAATTCACACATTGTAATACAATGACCAAATCCAAAGAGGATGAAAGATGGATCGTTAATTCTTCCCAAGACTCAGCAGACTTGGATTCGCCAAAATTCGCATACACTCTAAAAATTGACTCTCAATTACCTCCCTCAGGTTTTTTGCATTCAGTGGTCATGATTATTTTGGTTGCGGTCATGATCGAAATTATTTTTAATTGAAACCAAATGGTTGCAATCATTTTTTAATTGAAAGTACCACTATTATTAGTGTTATCATCGGCCCTAGTAATGCATCGATCGGACCAATTATCCAATTATTGACAATACTAATAATTAATATACTTGCTTCGAATTTTCATATACGAGTGCACCGGAATGGAACATTGGAATGAAAGATAAGCACAAACCACGTAAAAATGTATCCAAATTCGAAGATAGAACCCTAATAACCGACAACGAAAATTCCTTCATGATGAGTAAAAAATTATTGACAAATAATAAATAAATGGTGCTATAATATCGAAATAATATTCCATATTTCTTTATTAAAAAGAAACAAATAAATAAATATAAATCAAATAAATAAATAAATAATATATATAAACTATTTAAAAATCCGACCCGTTGAATAAACAAAGCCCGAAATCTTAAAGAATTTGTTAAGCGAATTACATATCGCCCGGAAATCAAGTTAAATATAACTAAGAAAAATATATATATATAAAGCCAGTAATGCCATAATGTATTTACATCGTTTGAAGACAACCATATATTAACTTTTAAATTATTC